TTCAAATATGAGCCTGCCACTTATTAGAATTCAATGATTGTTATTTATCACCATACATATCATTATCTTAGCTTGAAGCTGACTATGGCAATTGTGTTTATAACATGGAAATCAGCAAAGGAACAAATGGGAATTGTTCTTTTCCAGAGAGCTGCGAAGCCACATATCAAAATGTTAAGAAGTGGGGTCTATTAAGGTAAGTGTAACATTATTAAATTAATTTTACTTTCTTCTTTTTACTCTTTTATGTGACTGCTAAAAATCTTAAAGCACATTGTAATATTTGTATTGGACAGTTCTAGTTTAATCCACACAGTAAGATGATCCCATCATACCCAGGGTAATATGGTCCTTGGGTATTTCCGGGCATCACAGGGAGGGCTTGTGGACCCTACAGATCAGTCCAGGATAATGTTGGTCATCTTCATCACAAGTTCTCTCTGGACTATTGTTCTTGGGTCCTCAGGCCCTTGCATGGTCTAACTGCCTTGGTATCCCACATTGATCTATTTATCTGTTTCTATTTGTTGTGAATTAGGTCCGTTTCCCGGCTGCTGCAAATGGCATCTCAATAAGGGTAAACTGTGGGGTTTGAATTTTACAAAGTTAGCACATAAAATATTATTTCTTGCCATTTTCCAATAATATTTTAGCACTTTCCTTATTGCTGAGAAGAAGAAAAGGGAATGAAAGCTAACTGATTAGGTTTGGTACATATGGAGGAAAATAATTCATGCTACAATTTTAAGCAGTAAGAAGCATTTAACAGACCAAATAGACTACAATCTGAGAGAGTGCCTGAGATTATTAACCAGACCATTTCTAACCTCGAATCACCTCCTACAAAAAGAAAAGAATTTGAGTTGTACCCTCTCTATTGGGAGGAAGAGCTAGGCAGGGGACAGGAGATGATGTGAGGTATGACGTGTACATATCCACTATTGCTACAAAAAGGAACATGTTACAGGGATGTAAATAAAATCCAGAGCCTAATAAGAATTATTGAATTGTTTTATTATTTAAATTTCTGTGCATGGGTATTTTGCCTGCATGTACGTTTGTGCACCATTGTGTATATCTGGTGCCCAAGAAGGTCAGAAAATGGCATCAGATACACTAAAACTGGACTTACCAATGGTTGGGAGGCACTGTGTGGCTACCAAAAGAGAAACATAAACACCAACCCAGCCACAAAATCTTTGAGCTACAACATGTCCTGCCCACTGCTAGGGCAATGGTGGCACAAAGCTTGTGGGAGGAACCAACCAATGTCTGATTTGACTTAAGGCCCACTCCATGAGATGGAACGCATACTCAACATTTTTGGGGGGTTATCAAGAGTCAGAGACTAGATAGCCCAGAGGCTGCAGGTGAAACTAAGTGCTACTGGGAAAGAAAGAAAGAAAGAAAGAAAGAAAGAAGGAAAGAAAGAAAGAAAGAAAGAAAGAAAGAAAGAAAGAAAGAAAGAAAGAAAGAAAGAAAG